ATTTACAATGTTTTGCTAATTATAATAAATATTATAATTTTTTATAGTTCAAAAAAATGTTTGAATTTTAACACTGACATTTATTATAGTTTTTATATATGTAGACATATCGTATGACATTTATCGTATGACATTTATTATCGTTTTTATATATGTAGACTGACAATTATTTTTTCAGAATGCAGCATTATTGGTCTAAAGTAGAAAAAAAAGTTTTTGCAGCATTACCCGAGAAAAAAAACCCGGCTAATCCTGCTAAGTTCCTAATAAGTTTCCTACTAAATCTTAGTAAGTTCCCACCGAGTACTTACTAGGAACTTAGTAGGATTAGCATGTTTTAGTTGGAAACTTAGTAGGATTAGCAAGTTTTAGTAGGAAACTTAGTAGGATAAGCAAGTTTTTAGTAGAAAAATTTAGTAGGATTAGCAAGTTTATAGTAGGAAACTTAGTAGGATTAGCAAGTTTTTAGAAGGAAACTTAGTAGGATTACTAGGGATTTTATTCTGAACTTAGTAGGTACTTAACAGGATTAGAAGGTTTTTTTTCTCGGTTAAGTATAACTTTCTAGTTTTAGTAAATAGTTTTTTTAGTTACATTCATATTTTTATTAGGGTTTTATTTAATTATTTGAGTTTTAAAGATTTCATAGTTATATTAGTAGGGTTATTTTTCAAGAAATACATAAGTTTAAGTAAAAAAAACAATTTTTACTTAAACACATATTCTTCTTGAAAATATAATCCTTCTAATATAATTTAACTAGTCGCTAAGCAATAAGGACGCTTATTTATAAAACAATAATAAAAATAACAAATAATAAAGTGTTAGATTGTTTAACTAAAACATTTAAAAAAATATAATAAACAGCGATGGTCAATTCTTTTGGTAATTTCGCAGGTGTCAGTGGAATAATTGCACCCATAAGATTTGTCTTAATCTTTTACGACCATAACTGTAGCTATAACGTAATTTATAAAAATATTAATGCAATTCAACAACCTAATAACATATATTTTACAATAAAAAAGCATATTTTACTCACCATAAATTTAGAACGATGAAAAACTTTCATTATCATTGTTTCAAAGCTATTATAATCTAAAATTTAAAAATAAAAGTGTATGAAAATATGAAATTAAATTAAATTTAAAAAATTTAAATAAGCTCCGTGTGTGTGTGTGTGTGTGTGTGTGTTTGTGTATGTGTGTATATGTGTGTGTGTGTGTGTGTGTGTATATGTGTGTGTGTGTGTGTGTGTGTGTGTGTGTGTGTGTGTGTGTGTGTGTGTGTGTGTGTGTGTGTATATATATATATATATATATATATATATATATATATATATATATATATATGTATGTATATGTACATGTTATTTTTATAAGGAGATATTTTTAACAAAACATGCCTGATTTTGATAGGAATATTAAAAGAGTCCATATGACGATAAAACTTACTTAAATTTTTATACAATCGACATATACACAAGATTTGTTTTTGGTTATGTGCAATGAACAAAATTTTCACAATCACATTAAATTCTATTAATAAATATGCATAATATGAAGCGGATTTTAGTTTTTTACCATAATGATAAGCATGAAAAGCTCTATCAGCAACTCTAAAACGGTTATAAAACTGATAAAGATTTAGGTCAACATTTAAATCCTTCAAATCCATATTCCGCAACTTATCTGATATATTTTGTGCTGCACCTAACACAAAAGGATTCAAAGAAAAAGTATTTAAGTGGTCTTCCGTCTGAAATCTAATAAATTTTTCAGCCATTTGCCTTCCATGGCCTTAAGTTCCTGTAACAGACCTCTTTAGTTGGCAATTTACATTTTCAAACACCATAGCAGACGTTGCTGTAAGAGGTCCAAATTTTTTTACCTGGTCAGAGAGATGTGTTAATGCATGGAAAGTGAATGTGCGAATACCTTCACCAAAATAGGAGCATAATGCCTTTTAAAATAAATATATTAATTGCTGACAAGCATCAATATCACTTGATGAAACAATTTCATTGGACAATGTATGAATAGATGTTGAAAAGCATTAAATAAATAGAACAAATTTTAGCATTACCAAGTTTGTAAAACACGAATGGCCCATAATACAATAGAAAATACTTTTTTTTTTTTTTTTCTTTTTTTTTTTTTTTGTTCTTTATATCGTTAAGAATAATATAATAATATAAAGAATATTAATAAATATAAAGAACGCGGATACTCAAAGAAGACCATCAGGTCTTGTCACAGAGAAACCGCTTTTGAACGTTTTTTTTTTTTTTTTTTTAATTTTATTTTATTTTTTTTTTTTTTTTATTATTATTATTATTTTTTTTTTCAATGTTTTCATTCTTTGTATTTATTTATTTTTGTTCAGTTTCTTTTTATTACAAAATTAAATTTATTAATAAAAGTATATAAAGTTCGTAATATAATATTATAAATAAACATACAATATTACAATAGAAGAGTTCTAAAACTTAAAAACTAAAACATGTTAAATAATTCACTAAAATAAAACATGTTAAATAATTGCTTGTTGATAAAAAAATAAATAAATAAAAAAGAATGTACATTAAATATATTCATATACTAATATAGACAAGTGATTTTCAAAAATTTAAAAGTAGATTAGTATATTTTCAGTTGAAAAAATGAGTTTTTTAAGATTTTGTTTAAAAGAATCAAAATTACATTCTTGAGAAAAATCTTTAGAAGTATTTAGAACTATACTATTCCATAAAAATGGTCCGCGAAATGAAATAAAAAATTTTCCAAAATTAGTTTGAGAAAATGGTTGTCGAATTAAGTTATCGTTCCTTAGAATATATTTATTTCTATCTCTTTGTAAATACAAGTTACGAAAAGAAACGGGTAATAGGTTGGTCTTGCATTTATACATAAAACAAAGAATATTAAAAACATTTAACTCATATATATTGAGTGCTTTCATATCATATAAAAGAGGCTTGGCGTGAGCAAAACGGTCCTTGAAATTTATAAGGCGTGCTACATGCTTCTGTTGCCGATAGAGAGGTTTAAGTTTACTTTTATAAGTGCTACCCCAAGCAATGTTTGCATAGTTGATATGGCAATGAATTAACGAATAATATAATTGAATTAAGGTATTTTTATCAAGAACGTTTCTTATTTTGTATAAAATGCCTATACTCTTTGAAATTTTACTGCACAAGTTAGCAATGTGGCATTTCCAAGTAAGATTTTCATCGATATATACACCTAAAAATCTTGTCACTAAAACTCTATTAATAACTATGTTATCGATAAATAGAAAAGGTAAGTTGCTAGGCAGCTGGTGCTTTTTACCATAAGGATGAAAAAGAATCCATTTAGTTTTATCAATATTTAGTGATAGTTTGTTTAATCTAAACCATTCGGAAATTTTGACTAGTTCAATGTTCATATTGCTAAAAAGTGTAAAAAGGTTATTATGAGAAAGAAATAGGTTAGAATCATCAGCAAACATAATTGTCATTAGGTTAAAAGCTTTTGGTAGATCATTAATATATGTTAAAAATAGGAGAGGTCCTAATATGGATCCTTGAGGAACTCCACATGTATTTACACACAAATATTTAACAAACTAGATGATACGTTATCATTCGCATAAACAAATTGTTTTCGATTATTTAGGTAACTTTTTAGCCAAATTAATATTTTTCCAGTAATTCCGTACCACTCCAACTTTTTAAAAAGAATTTCGTGATCTATAGTATCAAAAGCTTTCGCCAAGTCAATGAAAACACCTAAAGTAAATTGAGAATTTTTAAATGAGTCAGATATACTTCTTGTAAATTGTAGAATGGCATGTTCAGTAGAATTGTTTTTTTGGAATCCATATTGATTGCTGTATAATAAATTGTTTAAAGTAAGATGACTTGTGCACTTGAGCTTTCCACTTAACAAGTTCATTATTCATTCTTTTAGGCTTCCGTCGAAAAAAAATGTGGTAATTTTATGGAGTCTATTATTATATAGCAATTTTATGGAGTCTTATATATAAAGATAAGTCACTTACTCTTTTCAGTAAAAAGAAAGAGTAAAAAGAAAGAGTGACAATATAATTGTTTAAGACCGTTTTCGACAAGACGCGAAGCGTCGTTAAGCATGCGCAGATTAAACATTTTTGGCGATGATATTGATTTTTTTTCGCTACAGCGTTTCGCTGCAGCGAAAAAAAAAGTCGGATTCAGTGAACCGCTATAAGCAAAAGCCAATCAAGTTTTGAATATTATATCACGTGGTGTCAACATTAAAAAAAAGCGAAAATATGTTTTTAAAGTAACAAAAAAAAAATTCTTAACCTAGCGTTCTTATTAATTTTATATAAACTTACTCTTAAAATTGGTAAGCATGAGTAAATTCATCATACAAGGGGCAAAACTTACATAAAAAAAATGACCAGATTTGTATAGAAAACTAAATCGAGAATTTACATTTGTAAATTTTCACACTGTCAATAACAAAAGTTACACTTCATAAGAATGTTTATCTCCAAGTGGCCACACGAAGATAAACCTTTTTGTGAAAAATTCTACATAGAGTTAAACCTGCTGTTCTGTCTTGCAGTAACAGTTTTTTAATCGAAATGTTCATATCAGAGTTTAGCATTTATTTTCTTATACTTTTTGTAAAAAAAACCTTATATTAAATGATTATATTACAAAATAATATCACATCTTACATATAAAGGCAGAAATGTTAATATTAATGCATGGAAAGAAATTTTCACATGCTTCAAAGTAGATAGTATGCTTAAAAAATAATAAATGGTTTTAGTTAAACATACAGCGTAAACTTAAAAAGTAGCGCGAAAGAAAGTAATTGGAAATCAAAACAGCGTTTTCGTCATAGCGAAAAAACTCGCTTCGCGCGAATACTTCGTCTAGTGGAAAACGGTCTTTATGATTTATGATTTTATGTTTATTAAACAATATAAAATCATAAACAATGAAAAGAAAAAAATAGAAATAAAAATAAAAATTAATTTAAAAAATACATCACCATACATATCACTATGAATCAGAAAATGCTCGAATTGATACAACAGAAAATGCTAGAATTTATATAGAGTTAAAGTTAACATTATAAAATTAACATTGTAATTCAAAATCACATTTTAACACATTAACAAATATTCATCAAATAAACTGCAAACCACGTAATCATCCCCAGATGTTCTTGAGGTTTTTCCCTATAGAATTACAAATATTATTTAGTAAAACTATTGAATCTAAAAAAGCTGTTTTAGGGCTGACTTGTCTTCCGTGTGAATAAATAAATGATGGCGTATAACAAAGACGATTTTTTATACTTGTTTTATTTTTGAAAACTTACTAGGAACTTACTAAGTAATTCGTTTAATCCTGATAAGTACTTAGTAGGAACTTACTTATTTAGCAGGAAATTCATAAACGTCATTTGACTAATGGGAAGCTTAATAGGTTTCGCCGTATTAAGCGAAAACTTACCAGGATTAGCCGTATTAGCAGGAACTTAACACGATTAGCAGGAAGTTAACCAGATTCCTAGTAGTATTAGCCGGGTTTTTTTTCTCGGGTAATGGTCTAAAGAAGAAAAAAAAAGTTTAAAGACAATTCTATGTAACGCTATCCATGATATTCTCATTACCTTATTATTCTGTTTGAATAATTTTTAAAATTTAAAACAATGTTTTAATTTTAAAATTTTTATAAATTTTTTTGGACTATGAAACATGACATGTATTTAAGTATATTTTATTTTCTTATTGATCTTATTGAACTAAGTGTTATTTTTATTCGATGCTAATTTAAAGTCAAATAAAAACTTAACCAAAATGGATGCTATGCAACTTATTGGGAGAATGATTCATTCTTCTCACTGATTAACGAGAACATCCACTAATATCGATATCGATCAATGATGGCTTGACTATCTATAATGAACTTTTGTATTTTTTATTTATTTTTCATTTTTCAGTAATTTTCCTCTATTTTAATATAATATTAATTATACTCCACAGTTTTTAATTTGGAGAGTGTAACTTTGTTTGAAAAATGTTTCCAATTTTTTGTAAAATTAATAATTTATTTTATATATATCAAATTAGACTTTGTTTACTTTGATTTCTCTTTATACCTTCTCTTGCCTAGATTAAATATCTAGATTAAATAAAATCTTAGATGTGTATAGCTTATCATTTCATTTTTATTTAACATTTAAAAGAATGTCTATGTAAAATTAGGACGTCTCTAGGACTTCTGAATAAGACGTCGTTAAGTCTTTCACGTGAGACCAGCCAGAGACGTCGATAGGACGGCTGAAAAGACGTCTCTAGGAAGTCTACAAATAACGTCTCTAAGACGTCTTGAAAAGACGTCTTTATAGAAGTCCTCAAGTCTTTCATTTGAGACCAACTAAGGACGTCTTATGGACGAGAAATAAGTCTTTAGGACGTCTTTAGGACGTCAGTATGCCCGCTGGGTTACTTGACTTCAGTGGAACTGTGAAAAGTGTTCACATATGGTTGGTGAAAAGACAATCGAATTAGTAAGTGTGTTAAAAATAACTTTTCTTACAAATGATACTCATGTAAATTTAAGAAGCATTATTTTTTACGTGTTAAAACAAAATCATGCTTCTAAAGTGCTGTTTTAATTTAAGATCAGGAGGCAATTCAACTGAACGGTCAAGTAGTTGAAAACAGCCCCGGTTTGTAAAAAAGAGTCAAACGCAATCTTGTATTATGAAATGGACCACCTCAAACTTTTTGTAGAGATTCTACAAAAAAAAAATTTCTGCCTTTATTTTTTACAAATTTCTCTCAACTTAGAGAAGATCAGGAACTGGCTTGTCTTGAGTGGAACTGCTAAAGTTTTTGTTTGTTTTTCCTTTTCTGGAACAAAACATGACAGGCGAAAAACTTAGAGAAAAGTGTAAGAGTCGCCAGTCAATTGTTCAGCACAGAAATTACAACATTGTTTGGAAAACAGTCTTTGGAACCTTGAAAAACTAGACCAGAAGGGTTGATTCAGAACTTTTAAAGACAATAAAAAATGAGACTTTTAAGTGTTAAGTTCTACGCTGCATTCTCGACGTCAGTCTCCATTTAGCTTTGAGAAATATAAGTTTTTGAGGTGTTTTTATATTTTTATTCATAAGATAAACTTACTTTTACTTAGGTTGTTAACCTAGATGTATAGTCTTTTTCACTAGCGTTTGGTATGCAAAAACTATTTTGGCAACATCCAATCATTGAATAACCTTTTAGTACTGACTCCGTGCGCTGTAAAGTGGGTTGTCCCTTCAGATGGAATAAGCGCATGTACATATACAAAGAGTGAAGCTCTGAGGCCATTGTCAAAATGGTGAAAAGAAATACTTAAATCATTGCAACTTCTTCAAGAACTTGATTTAGGCAATCACTCAAAAAGTAGATTCAAAAAAATTAAAACAATTTATTGAGATTTTAGGAGCACAGCCCACCTCTACAAAAATAAATCAAAGGGTTTTGAGATAAACGTATTTAATATAGCTCTTGATACACTGCTCTAGCAGATAAGGCCAAGGATCAATCATACGGTTCATACGGTTGTCTCCCCTCCTAATAGAGGTGAATAAACACTTAATCAGAAAAAACGCTGGCTAACCTCTATGTAAATGAAGCAAAAAATGAAAAGTTGATTGAAAAATTCACTATCTAGATGTTCTCTAGTAATCAAATATTTTTGGACAAATAGAATCTTTTTCTTCGATCAAATTGATTGGAATCTACCAGAAAAGTCTTCTGTCAATATTTTCTCCATCTGCATATTGCTTTGCATCTTCAATACAATACCAGCCTAGGTTGATAAAGGAGAACGCTCTCTCAGTTCGCTTGTTCTCATCAAATCCAAGTTGCAAACAATTATGAATGATGAACATTTTACAAATCTTTGGTGATTTCAATTATAGCGGCCGTGGCGCAGTGGTTACAGCGCTTGCTTTATAAGGAGGAGATCCAGGTTCAAAACAAGCTCTGAACATATTTTTGCTTCACGGTAAGGAAGGAGGCGTGAACTTCCTGATTAAATGCACTTCCTTTCATTATCGATAAAGTTATCGATAAACTTTTTCGATAAAAGTTTTCGATAACTTTATCGATAATGAAAGGCTGCAAAGTGAAAATTAATGTGATCTCTTTATAGTTAACATTGTATTGCTGAAATGTATAACTTAAATAAATTAAAATAACAAACAATTTTAAACTTAATTGTTGTTTCAGAAATTTCAATTTTAAAGCAAATGCTTCTAAATTTTCAATTTAGTAATAAGTTTTTTTTTTTTTTTGAAACTTAACATTTGAGTTTTTATCAATCAAACTTGTCAAACCATATAGTCAGTCATTTTTTATTAAGTAAAAGAATATCTTCTCCTTTATTTGTGAACTTCAAATGGTTCTGACATCTATTAATTCTAATAGAAATAGCTAGCTAAGAAGTATCACCTCTGTTTGTTTATCCAGCGCCAGACTATGTGCTTTACAATTACTTAACATTTTTTAAATGAAAATTCAAACCCAGCGGGCACAAAAAGTCCGCTGGATGTCTTAAAGATGTTTTGCGGCCATACGACGTCCACGAGACATCGTATACACGTCCCACCGACGTCTGCGCCCACTGTGTATTCTGCGCTAGATTTTTAAATATTTTGATGAAGATCTTCAAGATCTTCAACATAAAGTGTTGGCAACTAACAAAACTTATGAATGAACTATATACTCTAATTTTTATTACTGGTTATTGTGCAAGAACATTTTTCTTAATTTCACCTTTTCAATACAAAATTGGCACGTTTGATGAATAGTGTCTGTTCACATTGTAACTTTTGCACACCAACTATTTTCTCAAGACAAATAAGACACATAATAAAATTATTGTACTCAAGTATACACAACTTTTGTGCAAACTTTCAATATTGCGTCTACGTCTATTAACTGCAGCCACGTTTAAAAATTTTAGATATAGCTGTTATTTAAAATATAGACATTTATGTGTTTTACAGCGTTTTATTATATTTAAATGCAGATTTTTAGTTTGAATTCAAATGTATTGATCTTAGTAAGGTACGCCTAAAAATGTGTATATAATTTTTTTTTTTCAAATTTAAGAAAGTGATAAGCGGACCACGTCTGAGAATATCAAGGGTCGCTTTGCGGCCCGCAGGCCTTGTTTTGGACAACCCTGATATATAACCAAATTCAAACATCAAATGTTGCTACGTGTAACTATACTTAATATATGTGTAAAAATTGTTTTTAATTTGTTGTGTGATAGCCGACATTACAACGATAAACATTGAGTTTCATGCTTAATTCAATATATCGAGAAGCCAAAATTGATCCCAGGCATCAAAAAGTGCAGGCCTGGAGAACTTATTGAGAATAAACTTGATACTGAATAAGCGACGTTTTACTTGATACATGCTTCTTTTCGTTAATTCTTTTATTTAAAAATTAATTTCTAAAGTAACAACACTGTTTTGATTTGTTTTTTGTTTTTTAGTTATATTTATTATATTAAAAGCAAATTTAAAACTCGATAAAAGCTTAACCCTAATTGAAACAGAATGGAAATAAGCAGCCCAATGTTTTAAGTAAAAAGAGCTAATTTGGTAAAGCAACCTTCACAACTCAAAGTGAGAAATTTTATTTGATCCCCAATTTAATTTAATGAAGATGAAAACTGAACAAAAAAAAGTTAGCTAAATGACTATGCTATGCATTTCAAACTTTGAGATTTAAAACATAGTATATGTCAATGCATAGTAGCTATGCATTTCAGGTGTTTTTTTAACTAAAAAAACAAACAAGTCTAATTAATAAATATTATATTAAATATGTTATAAATAGATATATTCCATCAAAGTATGCTGAAGTATAGGGTTATTAAGTTAAATTTAAAATTAACTTTGATTGATGTTTAAAACCTTATTAGCTTAGCCACTGAAAAATAAAATGCGGACCACAAAAATAACTATACTGTCTAATTGTGCAAAGGTAATGCTACTTTTAAATGAATGGAACTGGACAATTATTTTGTTTATAAAGCTAAGTGTAATTACATTGATTTGTTTAAGCTCAATTTAGTTTTTTTTTTGTACAACGTATTCTTGTGTTATTATGATACTACGTTGGTTTGCTTTATGTATCTATTTTCTTATAAATTAAACTTTAACTTCATTGACAAATTTTTTTTTTAACTCGATAACAAACATTTTTTAGTAATTGAATAAATTGAATTTATTCGGATCAACTTTTTTCTATATTTGTTAATAATCTTGTTTAAACTTATTCGTAAACATTCTTTTAAAGAATCTGTTTATAAATCTTATCAAAAATGTTTATTGCATTTTAACATATATTTAAAAATAACTTACGTAGATTAAACTCTCGAATTAAATGTATACTTTTATAACAAATATAGATAACTTATCTGTAACGAATTTTCCATTAATAATCCATAATTTTGTTTGAAATTGTTAATTTTTAAAATGAAATTAAAAAAATACTTAAATAAGAATAGTAAACAAGCTCATAAAATTTTTTGCGTCGGCCAATTCTGTTTCCGTTTTTCAGTGCACCACGCAATTTTCTTATAAATAAGCACGTGGTTTTTTTAATTCCTAATCCAATTAAATTTGTTTCTTTTAAATTGGCGTGGTCACTCATCAGTCTTTGGATACAAATATAAAGGTTTCAATCTAAACATACTTAAAAATATCCATTCTTTCTCATTTTATTTAATGCTCGAATTTCAAGTTGTGCGAAGGTGCTTCTTTTAAATGGTTAAAAAATTATTTTCAAGTGTTGAACTCGTATCATTTGCGTTTTGATATATCGTAAATTGAAAAAGACATTTAAGTTTGAAAATGACTATCATACAGTTCTACGCTTACTTGTGTGCTGCATTTACAATTAAAGTAATATGCACAAAACCGCAGCGTAAATCACTGGAGCAAAATACAAAGGACGTAAATTTTAAAAAGTTAATAACACTTGTCACGGAAGTGGAAAAGACAAAAAAACTTGCGTTTTCTGTTTTAAAGTCATTAAACAACGACATCCTAAGCAAAAACGATTCAATGAAATCAAGCATAGATAGTCAACAGAAAAATAGCGATGACGTAATTTTGTCAAAAGTAATCTCTCCAGTAAACGCTAACGGAAGTAAAACGGAAACTTTATACACTGTTTTAAGAAATAAAATGGTATATAAAATTAAGAAAAACGATATGAAATCTAAAAAAAAAAAAATTTATGGTTTTTGGCACGGATAGTAGTTTATTATTTCAAGTTTTATTAATAAATATATTGTAACTATAAGGTATTTAAAACTTTTGCTTTATTTTAAAACCTAGATTTAACCAAAGCATCACATCACACGTCTTAGAACCTCATTGGAACATCTACCTTTGAGCTCATAAGTAAGATTGTCTTTTATTTCTACTTCTTTTCTACTTTTATTTACTCACTTAAAATCAATTATTATTCCTTTTTATTCCTAATTTTATATGAGTTAAAAGGGAACCTCTTTTCCCGAATAGTTTTGATATTTAAGTACACATAATTACATTAATAACATGCAGACAATTACAATAATTACATACTAATCACAAACGACATTGAGTACACATAATAATGTGGCGTTATAAATACCAATACATTTATGAAGTTGACTTCAGTGTTGCGTAGAAGCATAATATAAAACATACTTTTTATCAGATAGACCTCAACTTCGTGCTAACATAACATAATAGTGTAGTATTATTCAACATGTAGTTCATTACACAACTGTAATGTACTTACATAACATAATTTAAACATTTTATGATGTGGGCATCAGTACTGTGTTGCAACTTAATATAATGTAAAACCTTAAAATAAAAAAAATTAAAGACATCTTTTTTAGATGTCTCCTTTAATAAGTCAAAGCAGATTGTTACTTTTATTTACTAGTTACTTATAATAGCATGAAATATTTGTATATAAACTAGACAATAAGTTATAGCTTTTTATATTATTTTATTTTATAAGAATATAATGGAAATATTATTACATAAAATGAAATATTCGTATATTAATCACACAATAAATAAATTAGAACTTTTCATAATACTTAAAAAACAAACAAAGAATATAATAGATAAATACACAAAAAAAAAACGTATCAAAAAATGTTTATGAATTGTAGCAATTTATAAAGCCATTATCAAAGAAAACATGATTGGCAATACAACCTTGGTCATTGTCACCACAAGAAAATGCCTCGCGTTTTACTGTAAAAGAAACTTCTACATCATCGTCCAGACGAATACCTTTATTTCCGTCACCACATCTACGTACGCCGTTAAGTTTTTTATCTTTGTTCCAAGTGTACCATTTCTCAAGAACATCTGACCCAACTATAAAATTAGTTGCTCTTGAATGAACACCTTCCACTGTAGATGGACCACAGCTAAAAGCCAAAAAATTAATACAGACACTGCCATAATATTCAAACCACGCCCACTTCATAGGGTTGCTATTGATCTAAAAAAAAGATTATAATTAGCTTAAAATTTTTTATTTCTATTTATAAAAGTAAACAAAACAGAATTTATAAAAAATAGTTTCTATTTATACTATTAAATCGACTCTCACCACTTTGAATATATAAAACGATGAAAAAATTTTAATTTCTTTCAAGACTTATCTCGATTAAGTCTTATTCAAAAAATTTAGGTTTTCATTAAAAAAATAATATTCATAAAATTTATAATAAATAATTTTTTTTTCAAGTTGAAATTCCTAAAATGATGGGTTTATGAACTAACGTTGCTTAAAAAATATAGTTAAGAAAGACAAAGAGTTGCGTACTTTTCATATTACTTTAAATTATAGCTTCCTTAAATATACAGTTACGCGTAGCTGTAACTTATTTATTTATGCAATTGCTATAAGTTCCAATTGTCTTATGTAATACATATTTGTTTTACATTATTATGGACAAATAAGGTATTATTTATTTATGCTATCGCTTTAAGTTGTATATTCCGATTAAATCTTAAAACAATTAAATTGTTTTAAAAACTTTTGTACTTGCAAACTATCATCTTTGTACAGAAAACCACTTTTGTATCTTGGGATATCAAGGTTGGTTTTATGCCATTCGGTAGAATATGATCTGGTGCACATCTTAACTGTAGATTGCGATGACGTAGATTGAAATCTTGCATTGGAAATGCATTGGAACGAGTTGTCGCTTACTTTTGACCCAATTGATTCTATGAAGTTATAAGCTGATATTCCTATTAACAATGTTGAAGGTATGAGATCCAAAGTATCCAAACTAACTTCTCTTTTTTTCTGCAATCTGAGAGAATGTGATGTTTGATTTTCAGCATAACATGTGTTTTTTGACAAGTTCACCGCACAAAATGTTATTACGAATAACAACGATATCATTGTAAATTAAGTTTATACGAATCTCTTTAAAAAAATTCATTTTTTATGCAGTGAAAACTAATTGATTTCAATTACCATGATGTCAATACTTAATTATGTCAATTAGCTTTAAATATTTTTAAATTTTTAGCTGTTATTATTGTTACCACAAGAGATATGGGTATTTTTGTAATAGTACCCACAAACCCGAATCATAATTTAAATTTTCGTTATAGTTAATTGAGGTAATTAAAAATACTAATAACTATTAAGTTACTATGATTAAAGTTAAAGCAATTAAAGCAATTTGATGTTATTTTAATTCTCGTTGTTGTTGTTTTTGTTGTTGTTGTTATTGTTTTTGTTTTTGTTGTTGTTGTTGTTGTTGTTTTTGCTGTTGTTGTTTTTATTTTTGCTGTTGTTGTTTTTGTTATTGTTGTTGTTTTTATTGTTGTTGCTGTTGTTTTTGTTGTTGTTGTTGTTTTTGCTGTTGTTTTTTTTGTTGTTGTTGTTGTTATTGTTTTTGCTATTATTGTTGCTGTTGTTTTGTTGTTGTTGTTGTTTTTGTTGTTATTTTTGTTGTTGTTTAGAACGTATATTTATAAACATGGGCAAAATAAGACAATATTGCGCATTACTCAACAATAAAACACAGTAAAATTTGCACAGTGTTCTTAATTTAGTTTTGTTTTAACAATAAATAAATCTTTTTTTTTTTTAGTGTTCAAGATAGATAAATCGCATTTACGAAATTATTATTTCTACCAATGTTTTTAATAATAAATAGACTGATTTTTGGTTCATATATTTAACTTACAAATCTGAAGAAAATATGTCGTATTATTTTTCATTATTTTGACTACATGTTTTTGTTTTTTCTCTTCTTTTTTGGATTTTGTTTTATTTAAACTTTCACGTTATACTATTTTCAAAATCTTTTAAAATACTCTAAAAAGTATTTATTTGTTATACTTATTTACTTATCTATACTTGATTTCAATTTATTCGTATTTCCAGTTGGCACAAAGCGAGCTTTAAACGTTTAAGAACGTATTAATACGTTTTAATTAAAGTTTTTCTACTAGAAGGGTCAAGCTCACTTTTATTGTATCATTGGAATCATTAACTTTATAGCTTTTTTGCTTTTTATGAAGTAATTGTGCTTTTTTTAAAATGTATATTTCTAAATTACTTGACTTGCTTGTAAGTATAGTAATAACGAAACCTTTAATACCTATGCATAATAAAAAAGTAAATAATTAACTCTTTTTATATTACAAAGGCGCTGATCATATAAAAAAAACAAAAACATCCAGCTTAGGGGCTGCTCATATGGAGAAAAAACATCCAAACAATACCGCCTTACCGAAGTACTCGGAGCGGCGCGCCTCTACATTCCGCTTTACCGAAGTACTCGGAGAGGCGCACTTATTCATCGCGCCTAGGCGGGATGAATAGACGCGGTGAATAGGCGCGCCTCTTCGAGTACTTCGGTAAAACGGAATGAAGAGGCGCGCCGCTCCGAGT